TATACGGTTTTACGTGTTAATTGAAATACGCTGCGTGAAAAAGTAACGAGTCAATCGTTATCACCGTGTCGTCGAGAAAACATGTGTATTTATTTCGATTGCTCCGAAACGAGATGTTGAAGTAGAACGAACGTAGGTGATAAATTATGATAAATAATTCGCTATTTTTTTTATTATATACAAGAAAGTACAAGACATACTCTTCTCTATTAAGTACAAATCAGTAATTTAAGCAGAATATAACGCAAAGAAAGAGTGGCAAAGAAACAAAAGAGAAGTGAAGTTTTGAAAACGAGAAACAAGTGTTGTCTGTTAGGGAATAATGAGAAACAAAGAAGCGTCGAGGAAATATATATGTATATGTGTACGAATAAAATGACTATGAGACGACGATGAGAAGCGAAGAAGAAGAAAATTGAATATTCGACAATGAAAATTCTAGCGAACGGAACAATTTAAACGCGGGAAAATTTTCCCAAATAAATTTCGTAATTGAACGAATTGTTGAAAAAAAAAAATTTTTTTCTTTAACCCTTATTCTGTCAGTGTTCTGTGTAGTGTCTTTCCATAGCTTATAAACTGTCCTAAAAACTTCTATAAATAGCAATCTATTATCTCGTATTTTTTAATTTAAAAATGTTTTTTAAGGCAAAATTTGCTTAGCTTTCGTACCACGTTACCACGTTATAACGCCTACAGCTTTGTCATTTCAATTAACATTTTTCCTTTTTTTTTCTTTCTGTATTTTCTCCTTTTTTTATTCTTCCGGATGTGTGTGTATACACACACACGCAACACGCACGCACGCACGCACACACTGCATACACATAAACACACACGCACATATGTATACGAACGGTATCCCAGTTTTTCTTTCTTTCTGTCCGAGTTGAACTTCGTCAATATGTTTTATGAGTAAAATGAGAGAAAAAGTGTGGCGCGAACGTAGCTCGTTTGGAAAAGAAATGTAACGAAATTATTGCGACAAAAGGAACGATAACGAATCGACTCTTGCGAAGTATGAACGCAAGGCAAAAGTTTGTGGTAACAAATTGTTCACCAACCCGATGGCTTAAATTGGCAAGAATGGCCGACATTTCTCACGTGGAATGTTAATTACTATGTAATTACGTTAATTAAACCATTTATCGTTTATTTTTTTCCCCGTTTTCTCTTTTCTGTATCATACTTAGAGCAAGTCTACTTATCATTTCCTCGAGATATTCCTTACTTTCTGCTATAACTTACTAACAAGGCTTCGAACGATTTATATTTATATATACTTTTGTTTTCCTGTTTCTACTCATAAAAAATAGAGATTAAGTTTGGCCGAGAGCTATTGGGACATTGTTGTGTGTACATTGATGTACAAGTAAACATATGTAGAATATGCTAAAGAGGACGGATGGTAGTGCGAACATCCGCTAAATATTATGTTGGATAAATAAATGTACAGCACCGACGTTTAAACGCGTTTATCAGCATTCGAATTATCGACGAGAAAAATGAAAAGCCATTGAAATGATTTTATTCTTACACATTTGAATATCTGTGGAAGACGCAGTTTGTTTGTTTGTTTTTTCTTTCTTTCCTTTTCTATCAAAAACTTCACTCTTGTCACACTCATTGATAAACACGATGTTCGTTCGTGAATTTCGAAATAGTCGTTTCTCCGTAAAGCAATTATCCTGTTCCTTTTCTCTCTCTCTCTCTCTCTCTTTGTATTTGCTACAGAGTTTTGCATACGAATGGCACCCACTATAACTACAAGTACAGTCAATCTTATTCATTTTACCCACCGCGCGCACATATGTAAGACACGATACTCGTACACGATCTTTCTCTTTCGTTTGTGTATTCCCAGATAACAATTAAACACGGTAGATTTCTCTCCTTTTCTTCTTTAAAACTTCGGTGTATGTTTTTGGGGCGGGGAGGAGGAGGATATTACGTACGAGAGCCTGATATCACAACGGCGCCCGTTTAATCTTACGTAGCGGACGGTCCTTTTCTTTTTTTTTTTTCTTTTTTTCTCTCTAAGCTCCCTACCATCGTTCATCGTTGAGGAATTACTGTTGGTAGATTTTTGTTTTTTTCTCCCAATCGAGAGAAAGAAGCGACGTAACTCTATTTTGAAATCCTAACGGAGGTTGTGACGATCGTAGAACGGGATATATTCCGTTACTCGAAACAACGACGACTCTCGGTGGAAAAAAAGCGGATTTTACGCTATCGTTCAACTTCGCAATTTTACGTTTTACTGCAATAAACGCTAACGATATGACTGTGAACGCCGAGAACTTCCGACAGAAGTTGTCGATACGAAAGAGAGATCCTTTTTCTTTTCGAGGTACTCGTATCAGTTAAAACGTGCGTGTTGTCTCTCGTTGCCGCCGCTTTTTCTATCATTTTCGTACGTGTATCTCTTTTCTTTCTCTACCCGACGACGACGACGACGATCGTTCGTTCGTTCAGTTTAAATAATAGGAAACAACGCGGAAGACAACGATACACGTGAGAGAGGCAATCAAAGGATCTCGCCGAGGACACGAAGATGTACGATGTTTTTTTTTTGTTTTGTTTTGTTTTTTTTTTTTTTTGTTGTTGAATGAGCGACATTCGATTACACTGGTCGTTAGTGAATGCTTATTAATGATTCAGCAGCGAGACCAAATAACGATGACGTTAGGAGCGAGAGGTCCGCGTTCTTACCATGGCACCAGGTTTCCCGGCATCCCCGGGTTTTCCGGATTCTCCTCTCAGTCCCATGGGGCCCTGGAAAGAAACGAAGATCTATCTTGATAAGCGATTGTGTTGTAAGAGATTGTGAAAGTACGTGTACTCCGGTGGAAGAGTTATAGCGAGATCGTAAAATTAGGTGAGCGTGGAAGAATGTGAAATTCGATCGTTGAAACGTTAGTTTGGGTGAGATAAGGAGCTCGAGCTATGTTCAGAGCGGTTTGAAATGAAATTGACACCGGTTTTAGTATTATGGTATTTGGTGGATTTGGGGATTCTAAGATTCGAGAATCCTAAGATTTTGGAATGTCAAGATTTGAGAATCCCAAGATTTGGGAATCCCAAGATTTGGAACTCCCAAGATTTGGGAATTCCAAGACTGTAGAATCCCAAGATTTGGAACTCCCAAGATTTGGCAATCCCAAGATTGTAGAATCCCAAGATTTGAAACTTCCAAGATTTGGGGATTCCAAGATTGTAGAATCCCAAGATTTGGAACTTCCAAGATTTGGGGATTCCAAGATTGGAGAATCCCAAGATTTGGAACTCCCAAGATTGGAGAATCCCAAGATTTGGAACTCCCAAGATTTGGGAATCCCAAGATTTGGGGACTCCAAGATTTGAGAATCCCAAGATTTGGGAATGTCAAGATTGTGGAATCCCAAGATTTGGAACTCCCAAGATTTGGCAATCCCAAGATTTGGGAATCCCAAGATTTGGGGATTCCAAGATTTGGGGACTCCAAGATTTGAGAATCCCAAGATTTGGGAATGTCAAGATTTGAGAATCCCAAGATTTGGGAATTCCAAGATTGTGGAATCCCAAGATTTGGAACTCCCAAGATTTGGAACTCCCAAGATTTGGCAATCCCAAGATTTGGGAATCCTAAGATTTGGGAATCCCAAGATTTGGAAAGATTTACGACCTCATTATATCTCTTCCAAATAAATATAGTGTTCATAAATTTTCAATAATTATACAAAAATATACTATTCGTTCCTTATTTTTCCTTCGTTATTTCACAGCATCGATGTGCAACGCATCGCGCAGTTCGATTACTTTTAACCTAATATCTTTTGCAAGCGTCAAGATAACTTCAGAACAAGTGAATTTTTCAATTCTACTTTTCTATCTCTTTCTATCTCCCTGGTGTTTGATCGCGTTTCATAACCTACCTAACCTACAAACCTAATCTTGAGAGGAAAATACGTACGGGTAGTCCCATTGGACCAGGATCTCCTTTGGCACCCTTCTCTCCCTGTAATTTGAAAATACAACCAGGTGAAAATTATTATCTACGCACATTATATCATATCGTTTCCTCACCCTTGTAGAGATTATAGGCTAAAAGCCCATGTTTAATCAATTTTTATAAAGGGTATACAGAATCGGACGATATCGATTCACGGTAGCGTTTTCAAACGCTTTTCTTTCTTGTTTCTATTGAATTACAAAATTAAATATATATCATATGTACACCATACAAATATGACGTTGTCTCGTGATCAAGTAATAATAATAATAACCCGTAGTACACGAAACATACTTTTCTTTCTTTTTCTTTTCGGTTACAAAATTGAATTTTTGTTAAAATGATTCTTTAGGTACACAGTGATTACTGACAGGATCGCCTTTGGCGCCATCGTGTCCTCGGTCGCCTTTTATCCCAGGTGGACCTTGAAGCCCAGGAGTACCAGATGGACCAGGTGGTCCCGGCGGTCCCATTATCTGCAAGCAATTAATTACATGTAACACGGAGAAGATTTAAAAAAATTCACAGTAACGTCCCGAACGTCTTTGACGCAGCAAACGTATAAAATGGTACGAAAGTTTCAAAATGGTACTTCTACTTACCACTTCACCGGCATTTACTTCAAACGTACCATCTCCCTGTAACGAAGTGAACGATGCAATGTAAACATATTTTCTCTCTACAGTACTCGATCGATAATTTCGAATACTAATGGTAATCCAAAACGTACGTTACGTACACTACTGAACGAACGTACACGTTCGTAAATGAACGTACCTGTCTTCGCCTAAGTTTTTTGTATTTCTGTCGACGGGAGGGAGCCAGGTGTTGTGTCATGAAAAGGAATAAATTTTTATCATGAAATTATTAAACAGCCGTGGTGAAAATAGCGCGTTCCATTTGGTGTTCGATTTGAAAGAAACAATCGACATATCGAGTATAATATATACTTGTCGCAATATCGAAAGTGAGGAGAGCTAGAATTACTCGAAGTGAAAACTGACGGACCAATTGAACGACCAAGTATTCTATGTAACAATCGATCGTATCTCTCCCTCGCCGTTCAATGGGAATATAAGAAAAGGAAGAGAGATTCGTAACAAGAGGGTTCTGATACTCCATATGTTGAGGGTAAAATAGTTGTGAAAGATCGACTCACCGATTCGCCTTTCTCTCCTTTTTCACCTTTCAAACCTGGATAACCCTGTTCACCGAACAACACGTGTCATGTTAGTTCATCGAAATTTACATAATAACAATTTAATACGAAAATATAACACTTTGTGTTATTAACGTACCGGTGGGCCAGGTAAACCTGGTGGCCCCATTAGTCCTGGAGGTCCAATGTCACCATATTCACCTTTCTCACCTTTAGGTCCAGAAATACCCTGCACAGATATTTAATATTGATAACAAATACATATGTACATATCAGACGTATGAATTTGATTTTACAACGATTGATCTAGCACAATTTTATACACGGTATCATATTCACAAAAATGGTACGAATTGTAAATTCTTCCTCCTCCTGCAATTGCTCTTAATTGCTTGTTAATTATTTTTCTCACAGGAGAAAAACTGGTATGGCGGTCAAATAAGTCCTTTAATTAAAAACACGTATTTCAAATGACTTTTCTGAAACTAACGATTTTCAACATATTGAAAAGGTGTTTTTTAGTCATTAATTTTGTCGAGTATATTCATCTACTAAATATACATTTCGCAGCGTACAAAAGATACATTTGAGATATTTTTGTGAAACCTACCTTACACAGAAGTTTTACGAAAATTACTAGTTAACACTTGAAGACCTCCTCGCGCAAGGATATGTCAAAAAGTGATCTTCAAAAATGACAAATAAGTATCTCCTCGTTACAGATTCACATGTATAATATACTTACTGGCAGTCCAGGAGGACCCTGAATACCAGCCTCTCCGTCTTTCCCGTTCAGCCCCGAAAAACCGGGCGGTCCTTGATCTCCCTTCGGCCCTGAAACGATCAATCGTTACGAACAAAACTGAAACACCGTTCAATTATCATCAACCCTGACTCGTGTACCTAATCAGCGTTTTCTTTCAACCAAAGCAAGGTTACTCAATTTGTTATCGACATTTTATCCTACTTGTCTCCATTTTTCTATATCTCCCTCTTCATACACCCCTGCACGAACGCATATACACACACGACATTTTCCATCGTTTCCCTATTCGCTTACATTATGATGAACACTCTTCGAAACGTTCTACGTCACTGATACAAGTGTGTCAAAATAAAAAAATTCGCTTTGAAGACAAGTAAGCGGGGAGTAACGTTATCAAAAACATTTTTCTATGAAATTTCTTTTAATAGAAAAAATTGAATATTAAGCGGTGAAGTGATTGAAGAAGTAGTTCGTAGGATACACAGAATGGACTGTTTAATATTCACAGTATCTATAGGCAGTCTGCGAATAGCAGAGGGGATGATCCGTTGGATTTGAAAGAAAGAAATGGTAAAGAAAAGAAAAAAAAACCGATCTGCCGGCAATAATAGGGGAGAAATGGAAAGAAAATCGTTCGTTTTGTCGTCCATCTTTGTTTTTTTCTTGAGAAATGGCTCTTGAAAATCTACCTGATGAGCCCGTGTCTCCCTTGGTGCCCTTCTCGCCCCGGTAACCCCGTTCACCGGGTTCACCTTTTGGACCCGTTAGCCCAGGTGGGCCTCTCATCAATGCCACACCGCTCTCACCCTTGATACCCTATAACGTAACACTGTAAGGTCAGATCCAACCAGGTCCTCCATCTTTATTTTATCTTTTTGAAAATTCCTTTCTTTTTTTTTTACGACGAAGCGTTAATCGGTTTTAATTTTCGGGTTGGGATGGGGTGCGGGGAGAGGAGCAGTTTTATTCGGAAATAATCTACGGTATCTATTGATTAACTTTGGCACGAATTTCATACATTTCCCTTTTTTCTCCTTACTTTTGCATTATTTGCTGCACAAGATTTTTCGAAATTTTCTTTATTTCTCACGAACAGACTGAGAGTTTTCCCCAACTGTGCCAAAATCACTCGACTCGGTTACAATATTTACGACTACTACGAAACTTAGACACACTAACGTTTTATCGAAAATCCAAAAAAAAAGTACTACGGGTAATTGCATGCAATCGACGACAACGGGAACGCTTGTTAGTGGGATCAAGTTTAGTAGAAACTGGAAGCTGTCAAATATTTTTTTCCTCTTCTTCCTCGACATGTCTAGAGACAAGTTACGTTTCTCGAGTGTTTGATCATTTCTCTTATAGTACACATACGCGTCGAATAAATCTACTTTAGTTTTTCTTTCTCCATTGTTTTTGCAATCAATACTGCTGATATTGAAACGTTGATTGCCACGCGGAAACTTTTATTATTCTAATCGTAATGTTACATTATGCCTTGTAATTATTATTATTCTTTTCAAATTCAAAATAAATGTCTACAGATATTCGTTTTATTTGAATTATTCTAAACAATCTCTGGCCACTGATGACCAACGTGACAGTCAACGTGTTAATATCCATGTTTCAACGATCCGAACCGACACTTCCTTACACTCGTATGCAAATCACGTACAAATATAAATACCGAATCGAAATGAAGCGAACGACAAATTTACTGCGTAACATCTGAGAAGAAAAGAGGAAAGAGAAGAAAATGAATTAGAAGAGGATCAAAACATTGACAAAAAAGACATCGGTAGAACTTGTAGTAAATTAGCAGCGTAATGACACGATGTAGTAATACGATCGAAACGAAAGTAAAGCTACATAGTTTATTTTTGTTTTTCAGGGGCTGTTTTGTTGATACTTACGCGACAATCGCAGGCTTGCATCGATCACCGGTCGATAAAGTTGCGAGAGCCTCAAAGCCGGGGGTAGTAGTATTAGTTATTAGTGATTTGAACCGACACACAGGGAAGAAGTAGTGTGGTGTTACTTGCTACATTAAACATAAATTAGTTACACAAGCTACGTACACTACGCCAAAGGCTACTGACTAAAGTAAGCGATCTCACACACACACACACTTTTTCTCTCTCTTTTACTCACTAATTCACTCATTCATGCACTCTCACTGTGTCTGCTTCTCCCTTTATCTTTCCTCTTTCCAGTCGCTCGTCTATTTCTTTCGCTTCAACCAGGAATTAGCAACTGTTATTAGTACAGAGGTAAGAACACTGTTAGCCGATTAAGTTAAAGTTTGCAACGTGGAAACAAAAAGTAAAGGCATCGTACAGGGCGCTACAAACTTACTAGAAAGTTGACTTTACAAGCTAGACAAGTAAAATCGTCGACAAAGTAAAATCACAGTCGTATCACGGAAATCTCCGATCCTCGAAGAAATTTAAACGAATAGACGTCTGTGAGATACGGTCCCAGCTCGAACTAAAGGTGGCTCAAATTCTCTTTTACCACAGCAGAGAGTAAGGTATATATGTATGTATCTCTCGTCTTTAAGCCGTATCGAGAATCTGAAAATTTATCAGAATTCTCGTTCCGGCAATTTAATTTTCACATCCTCTCTCTCTCAGTCTCACACACACACGCACACACTCTCTCTCTCTCTCTCACTCTCTCTGCAATAATTCCTCGAGTATCTCGGGTATATCTTGTCTATGCTGAATTAATATCACAAGTCGGAGAATTTCGTTTTCATATCTGTGCCGAACAATTGTCAGCATAGACGAGATAACGATACACGGTTATCTTTTTTCTTTTTCTTTGTCGGCCTTGTATACTCGGGTACCGCGAACGGTAAACTTAGTTGACAATTTTCTTTTCTCTTTTTCTCTCTCTCAAAATGGTGACAATTTGCGCACACACGAATCAAAACGACGGAGATGCGCCTTCTCGGCTCGTTCGAGAACCGACTTTATATCATTTACTCGCTAAGAAAAACACGCGTATATACTTACGGTTGGACCTTAAAATAAAAATACGTTAAAACAGGGATGAATCGAGTAAAACTAATAGAGTGGCCGTGGCTAGAGATTTTTAGTGCGCAGGTGTATGTAAAAATTTGGTTACATTCGTCACAAGAGAATTAGCTTTCTTTCTTTCTTTTTTTTCTCCACCTCTTCTGCGCAAGGGAGGCTTTTCTTTCTTTTTGTTTTAATAACCGCGCGACTCTTCTGTGACACGAACGAAGGTGTGCCTCCAGAAGTAAATTGTAACTGGGTAAAGGTTTTCAAGTCTCTCACTTCGCGTACGTGTTATTTGCTGCCACCAACGTTTCTTTTTTTTTTTTTCTCTTTTTCTTTCGGCAACTGAACAAGTCACCGTTTTCTCGCGGCGTCTGTGTTTTAGTTACATACGTATCAGCTTTGGAACGATGACGTCGGGAGACCGTAGAAAAAAATATTCTTTCTGTTCGTAAGACGAAACGCAACGTGGCGGTCGTTTGAAACATTTCTTCTCGCTTCATCCTCTAATTTCGTTGTTGAAAGCGACAGCGTTGCTTCAGCGAAATTTCGTTGTCCGAAATGAAAATTTCGGGGTAACGGCGAATGTGACCATTTTCTTAGAGAATTTACAAGGAGATCTTTGATACTCGAATTTACAAATTTTCCCGTTCGTCTCGAACACAGCAAGAACATTCTCCCCCGTCCATCATCGTCGTAACGACAATGCAATTTAACGGCTACTTGCTTCAGTTTATTAAAATGAAAAGAAGCAGGTGATCGTAATGTGCCATACATGGCGCATGTTTCTCATGCATGTGTGATAAGATCGTGCATGTGCTTTCTTGTAACTTTCATGCAGGTGTGTGTGTTCGAAAGCGTGAATTTAAACCGTCTTAAACCGTCACGTCATTCTTAAATCTGGATAACAGATTCTACATCGGTTTTAATTACGTTTATTTACACGTTACTCGGATCGAGATAATCTTCGATGGGCAAACTTATCTCTCAGGTGAACGTGAACATGAACGGATAAACGAAAAGCCAAATAAAACGACTGAATTAATATCAAAGGTAACAACAAAACCAAGGAGAAAAAGGTGAATGAGTATTCTACCAAAAGTAGCATTAAAATTCATTAGAACCCCAAAGAGGACGAAAGGAAGTTTGTTAGTGCAAAATCGACCAGATTTAGGGGAAAAAAAGAATTAAAATTATATATATATACATTGTTTTTTAAACATAAATATATATATATGTACATATGGTTGTTTAAACGATGACGGTTAAGCGGTAAAAAAAATTCGACGACGACAATCATTATTTCGCTCCAAGATACCAAATGTTCAAGCAAGAATGTCATGCACGCATCTCCTTGCCCGAAAGAAACTGTAATATATGCACTTGTCCATGCATCACTTGTCACAGAGGAATTAAAATTAAAAAAAGAATTTTTGGAAAAGGTTCTTGAACGTGGATCTTGAAGAAAAAAAAAAAATAATAACAAGGAACGAAAAAAAAAACAAAACGGGAAAAAGGACATATTATACGAGAGAGAGAGATATATAATTTTTGGGGGTGGAGTATTTCTTCTTTTTTTTTTTTTGTCTTCAGAGTTTTTGGTTGGAAAAGTTGTGGTTCAATTCGACGGGCGGTGGTCGTTAGGAGAAATAGTTTGAACGGTCGTTTTAGTCGATGGACGTTTGCCGGAGGACCTCGCTGAAGCTTACCTTCTTCCCTTGTTTTCCCCGGCCACCATTCTCTCCCGGCGGACCGGGTGGTCCCGCCGGACCCAGCTCCCCCTTCACGCCCTGGGGCCCTGTGTGCGTGTACATTACGTGCATAAAATAAAACATGACATTCGTTCGTTCGCACACGCACTCTCGTTCTCGCGTAAAATCATGCACAGATGTAGAGGACCAAGTAATTTATTTTTATTTTTCTATTTTTTTTTCTTATTCCGAAAATTTTCTTCCATCCAACATTTTTTCCTAACCTCTTCGAACGCGTATGTACTATATGCTGCGTGGTATGAAACTTAAACCGAACCGGCAGTGCGTGCGTGTACACGTAATTTTGTATGCAATATCGTTTGAAAAGGTGATCAATGTAAATTTCTTTCTCTAGGTTTGATATTTTCTCTTTATTCAAGGAAGTAGCTAAAGTGCTTCGGATAGTTACCATTGAGAATCATTGTATCACACATTTTCAAGTACTTGTTAATTTTCGGTTTGACGTATTTTTGAATGTTTACTGGAATGTACAGTGTTAAACACCTTAACGCTCGTGTCTTGATTTACGCGCGCACAGGAATCCCCGAAAAATTGCAATTTTGTTTAATTATTTTCTTTCATTTTTCATATTGCGCTGTCCTTTCTATTTTGTGGTGAAAATTGAAGTCACGGTAAATAAATGGGAAACTGATTTTTACACGACTAGGATATAATTAGAAAAAAATAAGATTGATCATTTTTGGACACGTCGAGTTGAGAGAAATGTGAGCGTTAAGGGGTTAAGCTGCGTTTACACTATATAACAGAACAGTGTTACGAAAGAAGAGCAATAATTTATATATCGTCATACATATGCAATGATCGCGTTTTGTAGGATTTGTATGGGTAATGAGTTAAGAGTGTACGATTCTAGAATGGCGGATCTTAATTCTATAAATTGTGTTCTGTTCCTTTCGAGTTAGTTTTCAGAAGTGAATGTCTACTTTGAAAGAGCTGTTTACTGTTTCGAAAAGTATGTAACGGAGCAGAGTTTTTCCACTCTTTAATTCGACATTTTCGTGATTGTATTCTTGCAGTGTTTTTGGAGGTTATGTGGGAGAGGTTATATCGGTACTGTCTAAGATGGCGGCTTCTTTTGCTCATCTCCTTTCGTATTTATTGAAAGTATCTCGATAGTTACTTTCGTATGACGTAAAACAAAATGACTTTTCGCTACAAAATTAAAGATCATCATCGTTCTTCCGAAATAATTGTAAATTAAAAAAAAATTGATATATGTAGATCATTGCATTGCTCGTGAAATGTAAAACTATTTCCTCTTTTATCTCTTTAGTATGCCTACTATTTACAAGAGACACGCTGACTAATAAATAACGTGAATACTCTGTATGGATGTAGATTTGAAAAACTTAAAAATCGTAATTTCAATTCTTTCTTCGGTCGTATCATGCTACTTCAGTATACAGAGTGATCAGTCAGAATCAGAATACTTAAACATCTCCGTTGTCCGGCGATGGTACAGGAAAATGTTTAACGCATAATTGGAACGGTTTTGAAGGAGGAACACGGTGTAATAAAAGTTTGTTTTTGAGGTTAGGTTAGGATGTGAATTTGCTGTTTATACTAATAAATAGTTCAAACGACACCCTTTGGCAATGATAAATTATTTAGAATAAACAATGACAGATAATGACGTCTTTTTCAATTTATTTTAGCGTAATAATTATTCGATACGTTATATCTTCCGAAGTGAGAATTGAGGTTAGAGTATTCTTGGTTATGAAGACTATCTATTCGTGTATTAACATAAACAGTAAATTCATATATTATCCCAACGCTGTTTTATGAAACATCTTTTCGGCGTTCAAGATCATTTTTAGGTTATAAGATATAATAAAGAAATATATAGGGTGCAATGGATTTTCAAATCTGATTTTCTCAAAAATTAAACCTTGGATGAAAAAATTTGATTTCTACGTTTATTGTTTATTTTTGTACAATAATTTCAGGCGCACCCTGTGTATGCTATTGCGGAACGAAAACTTCGGTGGCCTTGAAAAATTGGAAGAAAATAATTTTGGAAAAAATCTTCGTTGCGTGTGATTTGTTAAACATTCTCACGAATCATCGGAAACAACAAAAATACTTAGGTGTTCCCATTTTCGTAAGGCACTCTGTATTACACGCGCGGCTATCAAATTTTGGGGAATTTGTATTATATCACGTATATACTTACCAGGTGGTCCTGGTGGACCAGGCGGTCCTTCGAACACTCCAGATGGAAACGGTTCACCGTTCAAAGACGTTGTTATACCCCGATCGCCTTTATCACCTCTATCACCCTGCGAAGAATAACGTAATTTCCATTAACAAAATGTTTTCCGATAAGATTAACGAGTTCTATTCGATAAAATCATCGTAAGCAAAACAAGATCGATCAAGTTGGTCTTGATACTTATAATTTGTACATACAGGGTGTTCGAATTTTTTTGGAAAAAGTTTTACATAAACATAGGTCGTTTATATTAAAAAGTTCTAACAATAACACGAAATTCGAAGGGGATGGTAACGAACTTCCGGTTACCAGCATGCAGCAACTGCGTCGCCGTTGAAGCATACGGTATTCCAGGATTAATATTATAATATTGAAATCCGTGTTTCGATACTTATTCGAAGAAAATTGTAATTTAGTTGTACAATACTATACACGTACAAAATAATTCCGATGTAACAGTCATCTGATAAAACCATTTCCAACATTAAATTTACTTACTATAATTACTATACCAATTTACCGAACCTAACAAATGTTCCACATTAACATACTCCTATACAGGGTGAGTCACCAAAGACTAGAGCTTAAAGTATCTTCGAAAATTTTACGATTGTATGCTGTTAAATTTCTATTACACACAGAAATAATTCTTACAGATACTTAAATCCAAATTAATGGTTTCCCTATTAAATTAGCGGACCTAACAAACGTTCCATATTAAACATACTCCTATAACAGGATAAGTCATCAAAGACAAGAACCTAAATAAAGTATCTTCGAATATTCTAAATTTCTATTGTAGAAAAACCGAAGAAAAATTTTTAGGGACTCGAAACACCAACCCCGGGGAATCGAACCCGCGACCTCAAGGTTGGCAAGCCGAGACTTAGCGCATTACGCCAACAACTCCCTCTCTATTTTTCCTCGTCGGTTTCCCTTTTTAGGTACGGAGCCCCCCCCCCCTGATACTACACTATTACACACACAAATAATTCTTAATCTAAAGTTTAGCCACAATTTACACATGAATAATACGTGAAACACGTAGGATACGTGTGATCCTGCGTGAATGATCAACATGTTGGTATTTATGTTACCTTAGGACCCTGAAGTCCTGGCGTACCAGTCGGACCAATAGGCCCAATCGATCCTGGTGCTCCCTTTTCACCCGGTAGCCCGAGGTCACCCGTAGTTCCTTTACTGCCGTTCAGCCCAGGAAGACCTTCTGATCCCGGAGGACCGGGTGGTCCCGGTGGTCCAGGTTCGCCTGGCTCTCCCTGTTACGTTCCAAGAGTGTTACCGTTGTCACCGTTTTCTTCCGGCGAGAGCCCTCGACAGGAGTGTCTCTCGGTACTCGTCGGTTTGTGCCACAGACGGAAAGGGACGGGAAAGGAGCAGTAGAGAAAATTGTCCAGTGGAGAATATATAAAGAGGCAGACAAAAGAAAAAGAGAGAGAGAGAGAGTGAGAGAGAGAGAGAGAGAGAGAAAGAGGAGAAGACGGCAGATAGAAAGAAGAAAGGTGTACAGAGGGAAGTGGATTGCGGAGAAGGGACAAAGAGAAAGCACGCGAAATAACTGTGCGTGGAAATCAATTATTGTGCCAATAATGCACGCGCCGTACGTAGATTCGAACGTAATTCGTAGTGAAATAGAAAGGGGGCTTCTCGATTATTCATGCAACGATGAATAACACAAGAGGTAGGAACGGTTGTTCTCACGAATGATAATATCGGCGATGATAAATGACGATAAATAATAATGAAATTATAGCGAATGATCATCCTTTTCGGTTGTACTACGAATAACGTTTCACTTTGTATACAGGCATCGTTTTCTTTTTACACGTACACGCCCCCAGAAATTTGGGAAGTAGAACGTGTTGCCGATCGTACGAGATAAATCATCATTACGATAATAGAATTTTTCTTGTTTTTATACAAATTACAGTTTGCAATTCTACGCAATCTGTAATATAATTTATTGTACTTAATACGTATTTTATGTGCGTGTTTTTTGTATATACAGTAAACTATAAGTGTTGGTATACTTAAATAAAAATATCTACTAAATGGTTTAAATTACAATATCATACAGAACTTGAATTTTCTTTCTATTACGAATTACCAGGAATTGTTTCGCTTTGCTCGACTGTACGATTTTAAGGTGCTCCCTATAACAAAAGCAGCTTGGCAAATTTCTCTCTAATCACCATATCTGCAAAAGCTTGTATCATGCGAATGAAATATGAAATGTATTATCACTATAACCTATGTTCCTATCACGACACTAGAAACCCCAAATATACATTTCTCGCGATTCTCAAAAATGATACATACGCTAATCGTTGTCCACGAAAGGGTTAATGGCGAACTTTGTCGCAAAAATTGTCGAGTGACTGTCGAAGTGTTTATTAACCGTTAGGGTGTAAGGAAGTCATAATCTTTATCTCTGCGTGAGACTTATTCCAGTGCAAGGTATGCACCCTGCAGTCCACTACCATTTGCAACGATTAACCTTCGAGATCCTATGCCCGGGTCACCAGTGACCCACTGTCTTTAAAAAGATAACGCACACATTTACAGAACTTTCTACGATTGCTACAACGCGACACAGGATAGTACTCCGTTATTTCTCGACGAAGAAAGACATACGCATAGATTGGAAGCTATTCAGACATACGAGTTAAGTGGTCCACCCAGTATATCAGACTGCAGTTACAGCCACGTCTATTCGCGCAATTTTACGTCTGTCTCTGATTGCATGATTGCACCGTGGACCTAAATTTACCGGGATACACGCGTCTACTGTAAACCGGCTGCTGGCTGATTCTGCCTACGAACGTTATACACAACGTCGTTGACATGCAGAGAAGGGAAGAAACCATGTGAGGGGCTCCACCCGTCCCGGAGTTTGGACATATTCGGCGCAGGCGCAGAATTCGCTTTGCACAGTGTTCGGGACAACGAGGAAACAGAGTCGGGAAAACTAAGCCGGTGATGAGTACTCGCGTAGACAAACCTGGAACGTCTCCAAACTTCCGAGACAGAGTACCTATATGTACACCATGAATCATCGTAGGCGAAGAAGTGTTACAAATGTGACAAATATCACCACTCTTCTGATAATTTGTTTGATCGTCTGTTTGAAAATTAAACTTACACAGGGTGTCCAATTTGAATTCCTCCAGGCAAATATCTCGGAAAATATGGAAGACACGGAAGAATGGTTCAGACGAAAGTTGTAGATCCTCTTATTTCATTTTGCTGGGGACCTTGAAAAATTCTTCCAAAGTTAATTTTTTTAGATAGGAATATTTGCTTTTTTACCGCATATTTTGAGACGTGTGAACTTTCAAAGTTGACGTGTTGCAGGAATTCGTATTGCCCAATGTATATCGAGTCTCGTCGATTCTTGCCCAAACTCTGGGACCAACACGAACGCACGGTAGTTGTGGTTACATGTGAAACGGCCTACGATACGTATACGATGACGAATGGCGCACGATCTATGTGAAATAGCATTGCACGTCATTTCACACAGAACCACCGCCGCCTGTGCGTTTGTGTTTGTTCTAGGGTTTTGGCAAGAATCGGCGAGGCGAGGTGTACTACACTGCGGGAAGGTTGAAATATCCTTTGCAGTCAACTTTGAGAGTTCATATCTAGAGGACTGCTCGCTTAGAAGAGAAATAGATAGTGTTTTGAAAATATGCAGGAAAAATACATATTATTATTATTCGTTTATTTCGAGCTTCATGGCAATGATTTGGTTTTCAATGTTTTAGTTCGTTATCCATTCACGCTCCATTTTGTGTCGTTACTCGCACACTCATTCTTTGGTTATCTATTTCCTGACTACGTACATTCTTATTTTATAATTTTATCTAACCTACTCTCCTCTCATTGCCTTCTTTCTCATTTTCTCCCTCTGGTTTTGTCCTCTCCCTTTCCTTTTCTTAATAAGAAATATATATTTCTATTGAAACAGTTGATTTCCTGTCTTCCTAATCAAAAGTTAATAACATGTCTTCCTCGATATCCTAAAATTTTCATTCGAAACATTTTTCCGCATCTTTCGTAATTTTAGAGATGTTTGTTCGGAGAAATTGAAACGGTACACCCTGTATATCAGCGCAGGTCCACTGTCGGAGGATAGAGAAAGTATTTGGACAATGCGTACTCGTAACAAATTTAATTTTCACCTGTACCGTATCAGCCTACATCGAGATCTTTGTGAAAACGTGATTCAGCGTTGAGTATTCTTTTGCGATCGTGTAATCGTATTGTCGAAGACAATTCGTGTTTCTCGTCGTTCCTCGTCGACTTCGACATGAACCACGTGAACGTTTACCGAACTACAAATTTTTTACGTTCCACTGAAAAGTGAAGATTATTGTAATTTTATGAAAAGTATACTTTTTACACTATCAGAAGATGTGCACTCGATATGAAAATAGAATTTTCATTAATTTACTAATTTTTCAAGATGGCGTACCGCAATATCCTTGCAAAAAGACAGCTAACTGGCTCAAAATACAAGGTGTGACGATAAGGTTTCGATAAGGATTCGCTCCACTTAACGAAACTGCGAAATGACAATTTCGTAGAGGCTTCCGAAGTGAATGAATCGGGTTCGACACGAAATTGCTTCGTCGTGGATTTTTCTTCGTGACAATGTTCCCGCACATTCAGCCGTTCTGTACTGAACGAGTTTTCGAATCCCAAAATCAGTCGCAACGTTCAAGAAACTCACCGGGTTTCGCCTGATTTCCGAATTTTTTCTTTTTCCTCTGTTTCACTTAGTTGGAGAAATTCGAAGCAACGCAACGCGGGAATTAAGACAGACAAGAGAAAGAGAGTACCGGAAACGTTACGATCGATGGATCCAACGCTGAAACGCGGGTGTACAGTCCCAGGGGCCTACTTCGAAGGCGATGCTACCCCGTATCTGCTTTTATTTCAGAAATAACATTTTTAAATGAATTATTCTCCGTAACGTTATTGCCAAGCCTCGTGTGCTCAAAAAAAAATAGATGGATTGAACGTAACGAATTTATTTCACGGCTTCCGTGTATCGCATATCTCTAGATTCTTTTTTCGAAGTTCTGCTGAAAGTCAGGTCATTTGCGAAAAATAAGGATACGATAAAAAGCGGCGAAAGAAATACAGAAAATGTAATAATTTTTATTAGTAGATAGAACGTATAATTTTTTTTGCCTAAACGTGTAGTTATTTTTCTCCGTTTAGAAAGAGATAAGGAAAGTGTAATAAGTTTAATTCGCTATAAAATCTGCCATCTTTTTGCCTAAGTATTTTTTGGTGATTTTTCAAAGTACCACATATACAAGATTAATCAATTTTTTATTTTCTCTGCGTTTCTCGCTGATTACTCTACATCTTTTATTTTAGAAATTTTTCAGTTAAACTTTAAACAAGCGATTGGCGAATTTGCATTATAGGATAATCAATTTGCGAGAGCTTGCAAATATTTGACGAAGGTATCAAACATTGACGAGCATTATGCCGCAGATTAGATCGATCACATTTTTCTATTTAATCTGAAATATTCGCACCTTTTCCCCCGATACTACTAACTGAAAATTGTCTCTTATTCTCCTCTCCCTTATTTCTCTATACCAGGGGTCGGCAAACTGCGGTCCGCCATCAGTCTTTTTATGGCCCGCGAGTTATGTACTGTTAAATGAAATATTATCCAAAAAGAAAGAATTCCATATTTCTCATTAATAAATGTGCATCAGAAATAAAGGATTTGTCAAAAAATTTTCATTTGTAGTTAACTACCTACTTACATACACTACCGGCCAAATGTTTGGAATCACTGTGCAGATTGCACGAAAATGCTTAAAAAAAAAGATAGCATTTATAATAATTTTTTAACGAACTTGTTGTCATTCAAATCAATTGAAACGAGGTGAAGTGCTACTGATCTCCACAACATCAATTTCAAATCAATAAGGAATCATTAGCGGATCCAATATTGATGCAAATTGGCAGGTGATCCAAATTTTTGGCCGGTACTGTACATACGTAATAATCTCAATTTTCTCTCTTGGCCCACAAAGCCAAAGAATATTTAGTATCTGGCCCTCCAGGAAAAATCTTTGCCGACCCTTGCTCTATACGAACGATATTAAGCTTTTTCTTTTTTTACTACAGGCTGCTTTTGTCGACCCTCTTCATAAATTTTATTCCATTTTCATTTCCACCGTTTGTTATTCCTCTCCTTCGTTACTTTCCATTCGTTTCTTCTGGCAACAATTTTCTACCTGTTCGTACAGTTTAAATACGGTGCTTATTTTACACGTACAGCATCATTGCGTATAAAATGAACACCGTATTAGGAAAAATGAATACAAATTTTCGCTACTCTTTGTCCGCTTCGTTTTTATCACAGAAATATTTTAGAACGTTCGGAGAAAGGATCGCAAGTTGCGCACCGTCTTTTATCAGTACCTCGGGATAAACTGTTTTTTATTTTATTTATTTTTTTAGCGACAGGAGCGGATATTTTCTAAATCATAGCATTTCCTCGATTATATTCGTTTTATCGATAAATTCGAGCAGGTAATGAATTTTATACCTCGTCGACATTAACGTGTGTAAACTGTCGCGAGAGTTCAGAATTGTTGATGCATTCTAGGCAATCGAGCTGTATTCTATAACTGCACATTTATCGCGCTATGTAACGTATTTATTGGTTTCTGAAACCATACTTGTGAACATTTCAAATTGTGGTTACGCTCCTTTATTGATAGCGTACCCATAACGTACCCACGGTCGGACGACGAAGCTGGGTCATCCGTGACCCGTACTACAGGGTGGCACAAAAATTTCGTCCACCTTTATTGTTATAACTGATATAAGAAAAATGTTACGTACAAAATTGGCACGACACAGAGGGGAATATAACGAGATCTAAACGTTTTTTACTTGGGTGGAAGGGTAGAAGAGATTTCAAGATCTCTATTTTTTTTATCGCCGTGTGAAAGTCGCTGTTACGGCGATTTCAGCATGCTGTCGCTAAAGATCGTTCAACTGTTGATTTTTCTTCTTTTCTTTAGGTTACTGAGAAACGTGGTTTAACATTATTCAGATGAAAATCTGACGAGAAAAATTGGTATTCCGATAGGTGAAACGCGACCCAATTCCGTCCTCCATTTTGTAACATGTTTACTTTTTAAAAATTCGGAAAAAATGCCGAAAGTGACGTTTATATCCTCTGAAAAAATTGAAACTTTTCATTTAGCAGTTGCCTATGAAAAAAATTCCCAAAGTTTCGACTGTGTTTGAATGCCTCAGGTTGGTGCACCTCTTTAAACAATACTTTTCCGAATCTTCACTCGACAAATCGCGATAGTTAAACAAAGCAGAATCTCGCGTGTGATTAATCGCTTGTCGAAAATTTCATATTGCGATAAATACTGATCGAAACAATGCTTACGTGTACTAATTATTTAAAATTCTTTCGCGTTCAAGGTGTTCTTTCTTTGTTTTCATTCAGAAGATGATTTAGAAGATGATGAATTTTCTGAAATGAATTACACAAACAGTTGTCGTATTATCCACGCACAGTTTTCAATTTGAAGAGCAACATGCACAAGTCAAGTAATATCGAACTTAAATAAATATAAGTACAACTTTGTAAAAGCATCCAAAAATGTCTTTATTGCCATCTATTACTCATATCTTAAACGTAGCAAAAGAACAGAAAGAAACAAATGGACGAGTTTTAAAGTTACACAGCAAACGAATGTACAACAAGGCAACAAGAGAACTAATATTAATCTGGGTAAATGTAATCTATTTTAACAACTGTGACTATGTAAATGTTGTACACGATCGAGTCATATCCTTAAAATCAGCGATTTAGATAACTTTGCAAGAAAATTTTTATTCGTTTCACTTATAGTAATATTTCATAACCCTACTTTTTTATTCATACAAAATATATATAAATTAGTATTTTCATACTGCTACTTTTTTATATATACAAAATGTGCAATTTGTATTCGTTTGGCGGTAAATATCGAGGAAGTCTTGCAAAATATGAGCTACGCTAAAAAAAAAAAAAACACGTCTCGATGCACATAAAAATTCACAGTTTCAGCCGTAAAAAAGTTCGACTATACAGAACCTGATTGGAATTGTATATCTCGAGCTGTAACTCGTTTCGAAGAAACCGAGAACACGAATATTTAATTTATGCATTTATTCCTGCTTTATTTATGTCGTTAATCATTTAAAATTCGTCTCGCGTTTCACCTGCATTTTGTGCTCACTACGAGATTCAATTACCCGGAGTGTTACTTTCTACGTTAATTTTTCTCCTATGGTCATTGCAACGGAAAGTTGAAATGCACGCAACGTGTATCAAATTCTTCTCCACTTTCAATGTAATCGTCGTATTACAAAAATATCTGATCAAAGCAAGCGTCAATTATCGATACTATTTTCGCCGTGAAAAATTACAACGACACCGGACAAATTTTGTCAAAAAATGCTTACGTAAAGCCGGAGTTAAAAAAAAAAAAAAATGAAAACAACAATCCGTGCTTTGAAAACCTAAACGAATCAGAACTTACGATCTATGTGAATTATTTTACCGAGAATAATTTTTCAAACACGCCGGCAAAAATTTGCCGATTTCGTGATAAAACACCTTGTAGATGTACACACGTATACAGGGTGTCTCAGCTGATTTTGACAACTTGATTTTCTCGCTATTACCACTCATAGCGATAAATGTTTCAGGCGAAAGTGAAACTTTTCAGAAAGAATGAATAACACCAGAGTGTGCCCCCTTCGGCACTGTTTAAATTTCATCCGAAACATTTTCCGCTATGAGTAATAACAGCGAGGAAAACAAGATGTCGAAATCAGCTGAGACACCCTGTATACGTAGATTCGTAAATATTTATATCTGCGCACACAACGTGAATTGTACATTCATTTCATGTAATACACAACGCGCACGTTGTGCAACATCCTTAAGAATATTGAAATTATAAGGGAATTCGTGAAACTGAAAGAGAGGCATGCAAAACACGTGTACATACACGTGCACACACTCACGTTCATACAAGCGCATTTGAATTTGCGTGACATATTGGAGGTAAAGTGTCATGCAGAGAGAACAGAGCCGTGTTTCTTTCTCTAGACCTCGAGCGAACTTTTCCCCTCGAAATTTTTTAATCGGTGTACACAAACACCTCTGCGACTAATTCATAGTTTCTGCAAGCGTTCACTTTCGAACGCTATTTATGGATTAAACAATCGCGACGAAAGTATGCATTGCAAAACTAATAGATTTTCTTTCATCGTTAACACTTTGACTGCCACGCCGAAATCACATGTTTCGCTCAGGACGCCACGGGAACATATAATGGCAAAATAATAATAAATTGATGATATAAGACAACATTCTTACCCAATGGAGCGTTTATCATATTGGTGGTCACGGGTGACCAAAATGTTAAACTGTTAGGATCAAAAATTGCTAAAAATCGAACTAAAAAGGTGACCACCTACTGTCCAGATTGCATTTATGAGCCACATTTATGTTTAAAGTGTTTCAACACATTGCACCGTTAGATGCAAGATTTGTTCTAATATTTTTTTTATTGATGTTCTAATAAAAATTTTTAATTGTTCAATGGGGCACTTTTTATTTCAAAGTATCTTCTATTTATCGGTTATATTCAAAATGCGCTGACCGTCAATTTTCATTCAATTTTTACAATTGTAAAAAGATCAAGCGCTCCGGTCACCAATGGCCACCGTGGCGTCACAGGAGAAACCGTGGCCGTCAAAGTGTTAATCTAGATACTTGATACTTTCAAACAGAAATATTCGGTAAATTAGTATCACAGCGGGGATCGCATCGCACACAGCTCTGAGGAAAAAAGGGTTCAAAAGAGGGAAATGATACTTGGTGTAAAATCATAAAATAAGATAAGAAGGTGCGAGATAAATTATAGACATCTTTCGTTACAATCAACGTGGGTATAAAGGAAAATTTCAGTACGTTTCGTTCGACTTTCAATATTTGCACGGATTTCTCAAATTTCCTTTATAGACGTCGTTGTTCGATTCACCAAATAAACGATAATATCTAAAGAGAAAATTGTTTCTTCTTAATTTTTTTCCTAATTCTCTGTTATCAAACTTTAACACTAAGATTGAACTTAAGATTTAAGTAATTATCTACGTTACATCGAATGTACCAAAACAAGCGATTGATCGTTCCGTAAAAATGGCACTTATCAATCGAACGTACTACGTTAAGTTGAAATTACGCACGTTCAGATTTCACGGATACGTACTCCTTCGAGCTAAAGAGTATAAAATCGAGTGCCTGGAGAATCGATGATAAGAATAGGAAAAGGAGGCAGGAGGGGCTCCCAAAGAGCAGGCGCACTTACTTTCAGTTGTATGATGGTCTGCGCTGAGATATTATGCCCTTGCTCCTGAAGTGCCTAGAAGTAGGTCAACACTACGGGTAAAAACCAAATCGCTACCAGACGAAAACATAGGGTTAACGGGTAGGTGGGAAAACCTAAAATGGATCGTTTTGGGGTAATCTCGCTTCTCATTTTTTTTTTCATGCCCAGAGATATACCTAAATACTGTAACTTAAAATAAATACCATTACCAACCAAAAACCAAAGATCATAAAATGCGACGATGGACACTTCGATAAGAACGAGAAGCGCTTCGAAATTCGGGGCATTGTTGAATGAAACGAGATAGAGAGGATTTAGTACTACGTTAGAGTGGAAAGAATTGTTGTTGTTTAAATTAATTAGTCGTTTCGAATTCATTTGAAAAATTAAATAAATCTGCGATAGAGGGAAATTTTATAGAGAGTATGTTTTTTCAATTCGTCGAGCGAAATTTGCAATTTGACGAAAAGAAATTCATTGTGTTTGATATATTTTTCATTTGGTAGGAATTTCTTGCGAAAAATTCTGTTTGTCGTTGATCCTCGTGGAAATATTGCAACCTAAGTAATTTCGCATTGTTACTCCTTTTATGAAAGGTAGAATTAATTTAATTGTCCAAAGGACGTTGCGATTGATGAAAAATGGCAATTTTTTGTTTAATTAGGGATTTTTGTGTTTAGAATCGTGACTGTTTTGCGGAAGAAGGTTCCACATTGTTACTTTTCTTACAGCAGCTGATTAGTATACGTAGAAAACTGTACAGAAAAACCACGTCTATACGATATAGAATTAATAGCTCCACAGGTAAAATTAATTTCATTGAAAAGCAGGAACTTTTCGCGACTATTCCACGGAAGAAGACTGTCAGAACACCCTGTACGTTGCAATATAGATTACATTGTAAAACGATAATTGGATCTCACGCTTCTTCTATGCAATCTCCTCTGCGACCCTTCATCTGCAATCTCGAGTGCTTAATCTCACGTACTTCCTGACAGACTGCATTCAGGCTTTAGCAATCGCTATACATGTATATATAAGTATATACATATATATATATATACACATATATTTCAACAAACTACCTGTAAGGTGGCAATTCTCTCTATCCGCTTTGCACATACAGAAAATGCTAAATGCTTGAAATTTCAAACGATTTGTACGTGACCTATAAAAGTCAGATCGAACCTGTCTCTTCGGTAAAAGAAAAATCCGACGAGTTTGAAAAACGTTTTATACCGACTTCAATTTAAACTTTTACGTTTCGCTACCTTGTATCTTCCTTTTCGCGTTTTCTGCTTTGTGCCTTCTATGTTTACTACTTTTCATCTTTCCTACTTTTTCTATCGTTTTCACTTTTCTGTCTCTTATCAGAATTTAAAAATTTACTGTAATAATTGAGTGTAAAGTAATTTTTGTCAACGCTGATTTTATTTTCCTATCGTTTCCACTTATCAGAAATTTCAAATTTACCAACGAAGTACTAAAATATCGTTCAATTTACAGAACAACATTCCTCCGTATAACAAATCACTCACAATTCTCGAAAATCCTATCGATATTTCGCTCGAACGAAAATTTATCCTTGCAACGCTCAATTTTCATCGCAGTTAAGAAGTTACCAACCAAATGTCGCTCTTTTCATTTCGAATTAACGCGCGCGCGTATCAAATAATAGCAACGACGAAACACCAAACAAAAACACACTTCTTTTACACTTCAACAACTTTTTCCTTTGTAAAACACGGTCGAACACAGTAAAAGGAAAGAAACAAGCAAACAAAGCGCTTCTCTTTGAGATAGAAGTGTCGCCGCACTTTAAACCAACCATTTAAACCAACGAGAGAACGCTACACCGAAAGCACCGCATGAGGCAACGACTAGAAATAGGATCGTTTTTAGGTGGATACGGATACAGGAAACTTGAAGAACATAAGTTCGCCTCTCTGACATGGAGACCAAGTGTGTATGTGTGTGTACGTGGTGGAGGCACATGGTGTTAAGAATGTCCATAGGTATGTATACACGTTGATCGATGCAGGAAGAAGGAGAGAAAGGTGGAAATGGAAGGGAGGAGGATGAGAAGTAGAGAAAAAAAAACAAAAAACAAAAAAAAAGCAAAAGAAAATGAGGTATAAGAAGCGGGGGCAGCGACGACGAGAAGAGAATTTGAACCGCAACACGAGCCGTGTTGCCTTCCGAAGAGGCCGGTTACCTTCAGAGCGACGATTTCCGCATAGCCGAGTGTCCCGCCGCGGAGCGTCGTCACCGACCTCTTTAACCCTAATCCCTGTGCATTGACCCGTAGGCGGAAAGATGGTTTATATTGTTAATCTGTATCATCCAAGGTTGGGTGTGTTGACGAGAAAAATATATATATTTGCGTCACACCTCTTGCCACGCGGCCATCGAGAGTCCGCCATATTGTTACGAGGATTACGCAACACGCTGGAGATATCTCGCAGGCGGTTTTTTGGATCGGGAAATTTAGTCAAATTTTAGTTACAGCGAATTTTGCGGGTAACTGGGATTTCTGAAGAATTGCCGATTTTCTTCGATCACAGGTTATCAAAACTTTTTTTTTTCAATATTTGATGTTAATTATGATATTTTAATATTTGATATTTAACCCTTTGGCTGCTGTAGACGATCAGTGGTGATTGAACGCTGAATACTATTGGCTGTTCTTCGTATTTATATTTTGCAAATGTGAAATACAAAATATTCAGGAAAAAAGTGATTTGGCTAATGTATTACGTAGAACGACTACTAACGCCATAACTAGGTTGTATGCAGCGAGTGTTTTACTTTCGAGTGTCCAGCAGTCAAAGGGTTAATACTGTCAAGTTTTGTTTTAGTTTTTTAAAAGATAGACTTTTTGAATGTTTGTTTGTCTTTATGCAAATTCACTGCTTGCGTTATTTTTGTTTTTGTTTCGTTGATAACTTGTGGAATGAAAGTATAAAAAAATGAAAGTTTAAAAAAATGGCGAATAGGACGAGTGGATTCTTGATCGCAACGTGGCAAATTGTCGGCGAGAATCAATATCAGACATATTCGAATCGAGAACGTAGCTTCAGTTTCTTAAATACATATATATATAGGGCAGCTGTTTATTGCCTATTCTGTAAATTATCGATTATTTGCGCTATTAGACACGACCAAGAAGAAATCATAGTTAAAAAAGAAGCTGTTGTCCTCAATCGTTGAGCTAACAAGGAACATTGAGATTTATTATTTAGTAGTTTAGAGAATATCACTAGGAAATATTGTTTCAGTCGGAAAACTTGTTCGAATATCGATTGGAGATGAATTTTCAATTTTTACGAACATTTTGAGAATTTCAAAAAAGAAAATAAAAATTTGTTAAATATTTCTGATTGAAAATTAACGAATATTAAGTGCAAATTTTTTACAAAATGTTTTCATAAAAATACTAAGTACAATATGGTGCCACAATGGCGTCATTTCATTTCCGTAATTCTAAGTCCAGACAAATTATTTTCCTCTGAAGACAGTTCAGCCAATCAGAAGTAACTATTCTAATAATTTAAAAACAACGATATTCTCCGATTGAAACGCACCTTTCTCAATACGCATATTGCAGAAATGCGTAAACAAACCGTACATATTTCGTCGAGCAAAATACATCGTTTGTTCTTCCTATTTTCTTCATCTCCCTTTTGAAATTTCACTATTTCTTTCTTTCCCATCTATCTTCGTGTTTGCGATCGTTTTCGAAAAAGTTACCGTGGCACGGTAAAGTTGCTGCTGCAGAATTTTACGAGATTCTGTTTTCTAAAGAACAGCCAGCGATGTTAGCGAGAAAGATCGAAGAGGAAACGATGTATTTTCGTGTTACATACGTTTTCTGGTAGCATAATAAGCTCACACGCTATTTCAGTTTCTCTAGATAACGTAGCTAGATACCTTTACTGCAGAAAAGACGTCAAAGCCGGGTCTTCCCAGTTCGCCTTTCTGTCCCTTTTCTCCGGGTCCACCCTGCAAACGAAACACACACTTTTTGATGGAAAAATAACACCGTTACATGGAAAAATTGGAAACAAAAGCACCGCGTGGAAAAAATCTGTTTTCTTTTTTCTTCACATTTAACCCTGGAATATTAGCGTTAATTTTTCGCGACACTAAAAAGTTTTTTATTAACTTCATTAACATTGAAATTATGAAAATTTTAATTTTAATAAAATTTGACATTTATTTGAAAACTTCCAAAAATTGTACAATACAGTATGAAGAAAAGTCTCTTGGAGTATTATATTCACTATGTTAATGTTCCAGGGTTGATCGACTATAGTACTTGCTGTACTACTACAATTTAAACGTTTGCTTCTGTTGGATGGAAAATTTATCCGTGGAAAATATTCTCCCTTTTTGAAGCAGTATTTACACGACAAATTGTTTCATTGCAGCATTAAAGTGTTATTTTCAAGGAAACAATGCAACGTGATATTGAAAGACTTTCGTCGTTCTTTAATCCTCTTTTGCAATGCGTTTACGTAGAAACTGGAAAATTTAACGTACATTCTCTGCGACGAATTAACTGAAAGTTCCATTATTCAATTTTTCTTTTGTTTTCCCAGTGGAAACATTTTTACTTTGAATGCGAAATCCGATTTTTCCCATTAACGAGATGAGAAAATGAAATAAGAACAATTTCTCGAAAGCTACCTTTCAATGGAGCTTATTTATAATAAATGCAGAAAAGTGCAATTCGATACGTTTATACTCATATTTGTCGATAAATATGTAAATAAATCAATTTGAAAGGAAAAAATGATAGTTCTAGCATTGGGCATTAAGAAGGAAAGTTTTAGCAGTATAAGTTAATTTTTCATGATTGAAATTTCTAAGCGTATCTTTAAGCAAGTGCTTTTCTGAATACAAAAAATCAAGGGAACACATTAGATGAGATGAAGAATACTTTGTTCACCGTCGGCTATCATCTATTTGCATATTTGAATTATTGAACGCAAAGGGCAGCGCGTGCATCGATTCTTTTCACCCGTTCATCGACAGAACAAATATCTCGCGTTATTTACAATGCACTCGTACTTTCTGTAACACCTGTTCTATATTGTTTCTGAATTGAGATATTTCAGCTATTTCCGAGCGAAGGAAAATTCAATTTTCCTCGCATCTGTCGCGTACAATATTCAAAGGAACTTAATCAATATCGAAGGTCTTTAAAATTTAATATTTAAAGGTCTTTTCGCTTAAAATGCAGAATTCAATTGTACTTTATCGCGTCAAAAGATTCAAAAATTTTTCCGAATCAATTAAAAAAAAAAAAATTGTTATTCAATTTCGATTTCCATAAATTTACCATAAGCAACACGAGAGACAAACAAACGGATAAATAGTAATTTTTAAATTATTTGAAATGTGTGTACGGTACGAATTTTATTATACACACATGTGTCCATATGCACGAGTGTTTTTGTTGACAATTTTCCAGCACAGTTTACGTATCTCTAGTTTACAATTTTTCACATTCCCTATCGGTTACTTGCTTTCTCGAAATTGAGATAGCTTATTGTCACACGTTACAATGATAGATAAAATTGAATCGTATATTCGAAAGGAGTATTTCTTTAGCTTTAACCCTCTACTGTCGAGACACCGTTTTTGGGACGTAAAGCCCGATACGGAGTCTACGAAACTCCTCAACTTCCGGTTAGTTTGTGCATAAATATAGAACACTCCTGGCAACTTTTCTCACTAATTTACCTTTATTACACATTTCCCTAACGAACGTTATAGAATAGAGCGATTGGTTGTATTAATTTCGTTTGAATATAACAACGTCGAGTTCTAAATGGAATGGAAGAAAAGATAAAAGGTAGAATCAGCGGAGTCTCCGAGGCTCCGTCTCGACAGTAGAGGGTTAAAATGAGTGCAAGATCGAAGGATTATCTTTGAAGAGAGTGAAAATATCGCGGTTAAAGTTAAGACGTGTCAGCTCATTTCGTCCAAATTTTTCAAGACTTTAAACACTGAATATCGCGAATTTCTCGAGGTTTGAAGAATTCTGCGCGTTTTCACGTGGAATGGCTTGTAGAACATACATAGTATATCTTACACTTATCTATAATCTTAATTTATACAAATAATACTTTTACGGCAATATTACAAAATTGTTTCCTGTTAAAATAATCCTTTTTAAATATGAAATTTTCGAAGATTATGGTAATACATACGTAGATTATGCGTGAACTTACCGGGTCACCTTTTGGTCCATCTAACCCAATAGGTCCCTGAAAAAACACACTAGTAAGTTTGAATACTTAGTTGAATGGAAGACGAAGGAAAGTGAAAAATCAAAAGGCTGCGAGCAGCCGTTGAAAAAATCATTCATTGTGTATGTAGTACGTATACACGCGAGTGTATGACATAATGTCGCGTCAAGTGTTGTAGTATGTATACTAGAGTACTTTCAAATATGACAGAATGGATTTTTTAAAAAATTGAAAAATCAAGTCTTGGATGAACAAATTTTATTCCACAATTATCACTCATTTCTGCATAAGAAATCACCTTCTGCCTTTCTGTGCAATCATTTCCCTGGCACGAACGATAACGAACCAGCGATAATTACATTCTTCCTCTATCTGAAATTTGATCATTCACAAGGCACCAAACGACAATTTCTCATTTCTATCATCCTAGCGCTTATCGCCACTGTTATACAAAAAACAAAAAAAAAAAAGAATTATACATCTCTCGACTACTGTTTACTTAGAGAATTTCCATTTTATTTGACATTAAAGCGAACGTCATATGTGAAAGCAAACATCGAAGTTCAATATCACCGATCGTTGTATATGCAAATGTGTAAATTTGATACCGTAAAAAAGTGTAAAAAAGAAAAAGAAGGATATCGCTTAAAAGTTGAGGAAAGACGCATAGGTTGAACGAACAGAACAAAGAAAAATTCATAAAGAAAGCCAGAAAGAGAGAGAGAGAGAGAGAGATAGAGAGAGAGAGAGAAAGCCTACAGAAAAACACGTTAATACAAAATACGATTTAGTTGGTGTTACGTGTAAACATGAGTGACAAAAAATGGAGTATACGAAAAACAGAGACAGAGAGATGTAACAATTAAGAAGTAAAGCAGACAGATAAAGAGACAGAGAGGAATGGAAAGAAAATAAAAAATAATATACCGGAAAACCGTATTTGCCCTGGATCCCCTCCACACCCTGTAAGAAGGGGTATAAAAAATTAAAAACTCGTTTACAGAGGATCAGATTTTAGGGTACTCACGCGTTCATGCAAAAGCCAGTTATTTCACGGATCAATCGTGTACACGCGAGAGATATTGTTATACATGTACATACACATTCCCGTTAAGGATCGTGCTACACCGATAATTATTTCCAATTAATTAGACATTCTCGTGACGGTTCAACCACACGTACGTATATGTACTTCAGTTATCGGAGATATTTTTGATCGCGTGTCAATCTCAATGACAGGTTCACCGCGCCAGGATTTTCTGTGAAACTGAAAAACACCGACGATCATGTACCGTATATACGACAGCTTTAAGCGAATCTCGTTTGCACTCGTTTCTCGTTTTCTCAATCAGTATTCGACACATGCGGTCCTTTTTAGAATTGAATTTGACAGAATTTTTCTGGAATACACGTTCCGACAGCTCAACTATTTCATCGACAAAGAACGCAAAGGATCGCAGCAATCGGTATTTTAACCCTTCGAGGTCGTATCTCTGCTCTCAGCCACCAAAGCAAAAATTGTTTGGAATATATCACTCGATGGAGAAATACTTTTTTTCTTACCAATTAGGTTATTTACAGTGAATTCTCACGGAGAAATATAAAATTTAATTTTTATATTAAAACGAAGGTACACGTATTATCGTGTCGAACATATGCAAAATTGGGAAGAAAAGTGAATTTTGCATTTATAATCTTGCGTTGTATTATTAATGTTTTTTCCAATGAAAATTAATTCTCAGCACCCATGTCTGAGCTCAATAAGATCGCAAAGGGTCAATATATAATTGTGCAAATTTACAAATGTAACTATCTCGTATAACCATTTGAAAAATATTTAAACTTTTCTTCAAGTCTATCAGACCAAGGGAAAATCTTTCTCAATGTTTAACCTCAAGTCAGTGTTATTTCAGTAACCAGTTTAGAAATTTAGCATTATAGAAATGCGACAAGTGTCGCGTTCCTTCTCGCACTGCTCGCCAAAAAAAAGTTGCAACACCTAGAAATTCAGTTCGCACAAATCTGGAAATCACGTGTGTCTCTCAGGCTACTCCGAGGAAAAACTGAAATCAAGCAAATTTGAATCATTTTCCCCGTTTGCATACCTCAAGAACAATATACGAACCGCTCGAGAAGTCCAAACGGTCAACTCGACATTTTGAGATTTAAAAAAATTCGAAAAAAGAATTTAACGAATCCAATTTCATGGAGTTAGTCACCTAAGTTTCTGAGAGTGGCTCCACGCGTGAAGGAGGATGTTAAAAATGTGCCAAATTTGTCCCCCTTCGGGCACCTAAAATTTCCTAAGGCATCCTAAACGCACAATTATTTATGTGGAATACGATGGGAAAGTTATAAAAAATGTAGACGAGGTTGACGGTACTTCGAAAGGCGAATCGAATCTTTCTGACTTCAAATGATCGTAACTTCGAGATGAATGCATGAAATAAAAAAATTCAAACGCTATTCTATAGAGGAAAGTCAGTGCCACACTAAGTATTTGTACTATAACTTGGGCTAATGTTGGTAAAAATGAAATTTGAAAAAAGGAATTTGTAGTACAAAGGGTGATAAAAGGGGACAAATGGCTTTTCTTCAATTTTCTCATAAAGATAAATAATTGGTAGAAATAAAAAAGTTGCAATTTGGAGCGAACGAAAAATTGTCGTACAGTACCGGACAGCTACTTAGTTGGTAGATTTTAAGGTCTAAGTAATAAATAATGTTAGGAAAAATCATTTAAAAATAGAATAGAACTTTTATTCAGGCAGTTGGTAGATTTTAAGGTCTAAGTAATAAATAATGTTAGCAAAAATCATTTAAAAATAGAATAGAACTTTTATTCAGGCACGATCGATATTTTCTTGATCCGTACACCCCACGTGAGCCCAGCCATTGCAGCTATGAAAAATAACTTTAGAACTCTGGTAATACTGAAGAGAAAAGAATCTATCTCAGGGCTATAGTATTCATTTGTTTTCCCATCAACAGTGCAGTCAACTAACAGTATCAACGAGATCTAGCTTTGGCCGGTACTGCACGACTCTCCCCTACAGCGTGTAAAAACATATTGCCCAAATTGCTAATTAATAAGAACAGAACGCGACGAATTAAGATAAGGTGTTTGGGACTTGTAGAACGACGCCTCCTTAAAACTTCAGGTGCCTGAAGGGGTACAAATTTGCCACTTTTTTAACATCCTCCTTTCACATTCGTGCAATCTCGTTCTTCAGGCGTTGCAACGTGTTTTTGCCAGCCGATCAAGTGCAGTTTAGAACACCGTGTGCATCGAAATTTACAAACTCTCCGAAGAGGTTGCATACGTACTTGTTAGCAATTGTCATATCATGCCTCGAACTACACTCGGAAACAAACTGCACGCGGAAGCGTATATATGTATATAACGGGTGTACTACGGGATATATAGGACTAGGGTGTTTCAGCAGAGGAACGGAATCTACTCACCTTCGGGCCTTGTACCCCGGGATCACCCTTTTTCCCTTTTTTCCCCCTTTTTCCGGGAGGACCTGGCTCACCGGGAGGACCTATAATAGGAACAAACAATAAATCGATACTCGCAACGCACATGAACGAAAAGCAGGACGACGGCAAAGGGGTGGAAATGAGTTTTTTTTTTTCGGTGCTGTGAGCGAAACACGTCCCGTGAAAGGGTCGAGAGATGACAGAAAACGATGGATGCAAGAACACCGCTTGGATAAAAGTTCGAATCAAGTTATTTTCCCACTCTCCGGCTGTTTTCCCACGTGAAGGAGAGATTTTTTCGAAAATTTATCATCGCCTAAAACGTGTTACACGCCGTTTACGGGAAAACACGTTATCGAACCAATCCACGCCGGGGGCCTCGTAATTATTTTCTGGAAAATGCTTTTAGATTTTTCGTCGACTGTGGTCCTTTTCTGGTTTTCTTTTCTCTCTCTCTCTTTTGGAGTAACAAGATTTCCTAGGAATCGTGCATTATTGTTGTGTATCGGTAGAAAAAGTGGTTAACGGTGTCGAATATTGCTGGAACCGGGGAAATATTCCTAACGGTCTTAACAAGTTCTCGTGTTTTATCACGGAGTTGATGTGATTAATCAACTTTCGCCGTTTCCATTTATCCGACACGACCGGAACGTGTTGTTTCAACGAATGTCACATTTTCACGTCGTTATTGAAGTTGTGTTAACGTTAAGCGGTTACGATCGAGGGTTCGTTGTTTTACAAATTTTCATCGTGAAACAGTTTCAATCGTTCTTGAAGGATGGTACATATTTTGTAATTGTACGAAATTAACAACTTTGCGAATTTTTTCGTTGAAATATGTTTCACGTAAATAATAATGCGAATATTGCCTGTCTCTTAATATGCAGCACGTGTATATAACAGGGCATTTAAATATCTCCTTTGTTTTCAGTATTGTGGAAAATGTTTGCAACGCGATATAAATGATTGAAAAAAATAAATAGATTTTTCTTTCATGGTATTCGTCTTTGCTTATACATTAAACACAGATGTGGCCATTTGATATTTAAACGATTCGAGATATTTGATATCCGAGATATTTAATTGGCCCCCTTCAGCTGGGACACCTTGTGCACATAAATCTAATCATATTTCGAAAACGAGTGTATACATAGACGGTGTCATTTTTATTTGACACTTATGTTTAACTCGGAAATTAATTGGCGCCGACTACCGATATTCCAGGCAATGTCGTAAATTTGCCATAATGTTTACGTTCGCAGCTTTACGTAATATATTATTAGAAAGTAAACATTGCGGCAAGAGTATCCGTTTACATAAAAGTAAGAGTCAATGAATTACAACATTTGCTGGGATAAATCTGGCGATGATAAAACGTATCCACGATGTCACAATTTTGAAGTAATAATTGTTTTACGATTCTTCGGTGACCTTGAATAAGCTGAAATCAGTGTAACAGCCACTATCACACAGTGATAAGAAAAAGATAGAGATGATTTTGAAATCTTTTCTACGTCTTCTCCTATTTAAAAATTAATCGAATCTCATTATGTTTCCCTCCATATTGTGTAACTTTTGTAGATAACGTTTTTACAGTTTATCGTGGCGCTAGGAATTTTCTAAATTGATTTTCTCGAACATCCAAACTTTATTCTGCAATTTCGACTTATATTTATTAAGTGTGCAAATTAATTCGGTGCGTCTTTTCACGAACTTTAATGTTGATTTACAGAAGAGCAGACGCAATTTTAATGTTCAAAATGATCTCCGTTATTTTCTGACGAATTAATTAATTATTGACTGACGAATTCCTTTTCTGAGAAAGTGCGGCGAGTTTGAGTCGATAAAGCCTTTTTGAAAGAAAGCACCGAATTAATTTGTACACCTTCATTTTCCGAAGTCTCAATCTCCCGAATTCCCAATTTTCCGAATTTTCAAGCTCCCAAATTCTCAGTCTTCTGAATTCTCAATTTCCCGAATTCTCAATTTTCCGAATTCCCAAGCTCCCGAATTCTCAAGCTTCTGATTTTCAATTTTTCGAATTCCCAAACTCCCGAATTCTTAATCTCCCTAATTCCCAATTTTCCAAATTTTCAAACTCCCAAATTCTCAGTCTTCCGAATTCTCAATTTTCCGAATACTTAATCTCCCGAATTCCCAATTTTCCGAATTTTCAAACTCCCAAATTCTCAGTCTTCTGAATTCTCAATTTTCCGAATTCTCAATTTTCCGAATTCCCAAGCTCCCGAATTCTCAAGCTTCTGAATTCTCAATTTTTCGAATTCCCAAACTCCCGAATTCTTAATCTCCCTAATTCCCAATTTTCCAAATTTTCAAGCTCCCAAATTCTCAATCACCCGAATTCCCAATCTTCCGAATTTTCAAGCTCCCGAATTCCCAATTTTCCGAATTTTCAAGCTCCCGAATTCTCAATCTCCCGAATTCCCAAGCTCCCGAATTCTCAAGCTTCTGAATTCTCAATTTTTCGAATTCCCAAACTCCCGAATACTTAATCTCCCTAATTCCCAATTTTCCAAATTTTCAAGCTCCCAAATTCTCAATCACCCGAATTCCCAATCTTCCGAATTTTCAAGCTCCCGAATTCCCTATTTTCCGAATTTTCAAGCTCCCGAATTCTTAATCTCCCGAATTCCCAAGCTCCCGAATTCTCAATAATTTTTTCCCAGGTTCTAACGTGATTACCGGAGCACCCTGTATTAGATAAACGAGGGAAACGGAGAAAGGTGCTAGGAAAAAAAGGGGGAAAAACAGCGGAGTTCAGAATGGGCAATATTAGCCGGGCGTGAATTAACTTTCGTAAACTTTTTTATAATGCAGGGCACAGATAAATCTTCCCGCCAGCTGTCCGGATGTAGAGATGAAATAAGAAACGTGCTAACAAGGAAAGTTCCCGACTCGATATTGGCAGATATTGAAGAAAGTTGAAAACAATTCTTCGCGGAGGCTGTGATATATGAAAAAAATTGACGGACAATTTTCTAAAAGTAATAACCTTTTATCATAGTCATCGTGTGGAATATCCAACGTATATAACTGGGTTACACTTCTCCCATTCAGAATTATACCTCTAAAATGTTTGAACGTAGGAAAAAATATGTTCTTATTTTCGAAATTGAAAATTAATCGTTTCTATTATTTCCTGACAATTATTTGGAAATATTGAAACGAACGTTCCTAAAGATATCTTTCAAAAGATTCTCGCGGATTTGTTCGTCAATCACGTTTGAGATCTTTGGAACTGATGTCACTTAGGAATGTTCAGAGTTATTTAGCAGACATGCCTATTTGCTATGACGAAAAATGCGTCACTATGGACACATAGACACTTTACCTGCCGTGAAATACTTAACGTCAAACGTTAAATAGACAGCATGCTGTTGCTGGAGATTTTGCTTAGTGGTCGTTGCTAGCATAATGTCTATAAAATGTCCTCCTGTCACTTATCCACGTTCAATATTTCTAAATACTGCTAGAGTTTTGTATTTTTAGCGTACCATAGTTGCAGGGAAAATTGCGACTTCTGATACATTAATCAAGGAAATATCAATTTACTAAAATTAGGAAAGTAAATGCAACGACAAAAAAACGAATTGTTGCCATTTTTTAGAATTTATGAACGGAGTATGAATTATTTAGTGGCGATATGTCAATAAAAATATACACACTACCGGCCAAAAGTTTGGAATCACCTCCCACTTTTCATCAATACTAAATCTGCTGCTAATTTTTTATAGATTTCAAGTTTATCTCAATTCTACATTTATCAATTTATCTCATATCAATTGATTCGAGTGATAAAAAATTCTCAAAGTCGCTGACTTTTTTCTGCAAATTTTTGTGTAAATTGCAATGTTCAGTGATTCCAAACTTTTGGCCGGTAGTGTATATGGTCCTTATATCGTACTACGAGATTCCAAACTAAATGTAGAAAAGGAGGTGCAACGAAAAAGAGGGAAATTTGATTACTGCCCTTTTTTAAGGATTTATTAATGGAGTATGAATTATCTAGTGGCGATATTGTGAATACAAATATTTATGTGGTTCTTATACTACGAGATTCCAAACTGAATCACTTTTGCTAGACTAAACAGTCCATCTTGCCTGTACGTCATATGAACTAAGTTCGGTATTCTTAGTCTCTCCCCTGTACTTTCAGCGAAGGGGTTACGCGGCGTAGGAAATAATCGTGTGTGATAGGTGTTCCGTGTACTTGCATTTATCTTAATTAGCTATTTGTGCTTCTATCATGGAAGCAGGTGTGCATAACTTTGAACCATTTTTTTCTTTCCGAAAAAGGGGAAAAAAATTAAGAAGAACATAAACTTAAAGAAAATTGAAAAGAACATAAAGTTTTAAAAAATTGAGAAAATTAAACAGAATATAAATTTAAAAAAAATTGAAAAATTAAGAAGAACGTAAACTTAAAGAAAAATTGAAAAAAACATAAACTTAGAATGATATGTCGATACGCAAGAGGTATTCACCTGTTACAGTCTATTGTCACAAACGGCGAAACGAAGAAAACGAAGTAAGTATCTCTTAGACACCTTCTGTTACTGCACACTCAGCAGCAACAAGAACAGTAAGAAGAACAGACAGATATGAGTCAAGATTTTAAGGAAACCGAAAGAAGAAGAAGAAAAATAAGTGAAGATACGAAGGCATACTACGAAAGTGTCTTTCACACGAATGATACCAGCACAAGTATCAAGGTAATCGATCGTTCTACCTGTAGAAACCCAAATAAACTAAACAAAGTAAAGAAAGAAAAAAGAAGAAACAGATCTCCTCGTAAAACAACGATTTTTCTCTTCTTCTTCTCCTTTTTACAATATTCCACTTGATTTCTCTTATCTTTCCACTTCTTTTCATCCCCCTACCTCTGTCCTCCACCATTTCGTTGCTCTTGATGTAACAAGTTTTCTTCTCCTTAGATTTCTCGTCAAACCACAAATGACTAGCGGAACTACCAAGTGTACTTGGTGAATTGCAGAGGAGTAACGAGGAAAGTTGCGTGAAAAAGCGGAACAGTGCAGCAACT